GGTGGACGTGCGGGATCGGGGACGGGGCGTCCTGGCCCGGGAACGGCAGGCAGGCGCGGGGGCAGCGGGGCCGTGGTCCTCACACGGGGCAGCACTAGAGCGTGGGAAGGCTGGGGGCCCGGAGTGCGCGGGACGGCGAGGGGCGCACCCGGGGTGCGGGGCCCCGCGCTGGGCCTGCAGAGGAGAGGTCCGCGCCGAGCGGGGTCTGCGGGCCGGGCCGTGGGGGCGTCCCGTCCTCCAGGACCGGCCTCCTGGCACATGGGGGCCGGGGCTCCGGGCATTTCCGGTGCTCTGCAGCTAGGGGCCGGCGGAGCCCGTCGAGGGCCGAGTGAAAGGGGCCGGTGGCGGAACGAGCTGGGCCGGGACCGTGCCGAGCGGGCCAGCTGGCCCTCGTCATGCCTGGCAAGGGAAAGTGCCCCCTCGGCCTCAGTGGGCCGGACGCCAAGTCCGGCGCTGCCAACTTGTGGGCCACACTCGCAGCCCAGTAGCTAGGGGGCGTGGCGATGCCGCAGGGGGCGGGACCGGGGGGCGAGGCGATAGCGCTCGCGCGCGCTCTCCACCAATCGGGGGACTGGAGGAGGCTTGCGGGGGTGACGTAGGGGGCAGGGCTGAGTGGGCGGCCCAGAGCGCCCCGCCCCGCCCGCTGGCTTGCGCGCGCACGTCGGGCCTCGCGGGCACGTCGAGTCCCGCCGCTGCTTGCAGGGATGCAGGGGAGTGGGACTTCTCTCGCTTCTCTGCAGTCGCTGGCACCGGGCGCTTCCTGCAGCGACTCGCGTGCTCACAGGGGGAACAAGGGAGGCTCTCCAAAGTTTTCAAGATCCTTACAGACGTGCCCCTGGCGGGGGTTAACCCGCAGTGAGGGTCCTGGTGTTTGAGCCTGCGGTGGGACAAGGCTCCTGCGATCTAGGCGGGTGGAGAAACACTTCAGGGAGCTGCTGTAAAAGGTAGCCCCTCCGCAAGTAGGGGACATCTTGCACCCTAGTCCAGGACGCGACATCCTGGCCCTGTGTGGATGGGGGCGGGGGAGGGCTGGTGCCAGGGGCCTTGGGGTGCACCCACAAGTGAGTAGGTGCTCTGTAAAGGCGTTCGTGGGTCTCCAGTGAGTCGCATAGGGCGGCTGACCCGGAAGGTATACCTTCCCAAGTACACACAAGTTGAAGGGCCCATGGCACTCAGGACTTTTGCTTTTTTTCTTTTATTTCAATAGTGCCTGTATGCTATCCAGAGAAATAAAACATTCTCCTCCCAATGGGTGGTGGTCACTGAAATTCTTTTTCTTCCCTTTCTCCATCCCTTCAGGGTTTAGGGCACATACACCTGCTGGGCATGTCTTTCAAGCCACTGGGCCAGATGCGAACCAGGGTTGGCCTTGTGGAATCCAGCTCCAAACGCACAGCACTTAACTACTGCACTGTGGGGGTGGCCTCCTTGTCCCCACTTGTAAGGCTTTTCACAGTAGTAAGGTGGGTATGGCTGGCCCCAGGCCTGGTAAACTCCCAAGGTTCTCTTAATTCAGTCTAGAAAGGCTGCTGAATCCTGCAGCGTGTGAGGAAGGCCTGGGGATACAGTTTTCCTGCAATTTTGATATATAACCACAGAGATCAACATCTCAGCTGTCTGGTTAATGACACATCCCAAATACTCCATCAGCTGGGGCAAGGTAATGAGATCGTTTAGACTTAAGGATTCACATGCTTCAGACCTGGCTCCTTTTGGGTTCGTGGTGGTGGTGGTGGTAGTGGTGGTGGTGGGGTTACTTCCAGAGGTTCTGCTCACTTAGCTAAGTCTGGGAAGGAGCTCAGAGCTTGGAGTACAGGGCCAAATGAAGTGATTTTCGTATGCAGAGGCTTTCCTGTTAGGCCTCTCCTTTTTTTTTTTTTTTTTTTTTTTTAGGTTTTTGACGTAGGGTGTGTGCTCTCAGTAGAGAGAGACAGAGAGAAAGCGAGAAAGCACCCCTGGGGTGGGAGGATGGCCATGCTTCAATCCCATCTCCATTCTCCTGAATTTGGGGCATGCATGCACATGTGTCTGGCATAGTTTTTCAGCCACGAGGTCCAGGATTCAAACTGCGGAGGACCATGTGGGAGTCCAGCACCTTAACCACCATGCCACCTGTGGGCGTTAACATGACCATCCAGAACTTTAGTAGCGATCTTTCCTTCTTTGCACCCTTCACTATCCTTAGCTTCCCAAAATTGCCTCCAAAGAAAGACCCTAGCTTCACCCAAGTCTTTGCTTCAGGCTCAAGTAGGAAAACATCTTGCTGGATTAAGTTCTTGTTCCCCTTCACATGCTGTTCATTTCAATCTCCAATTGATTTATTTCATAAATATTAATAGAAATAACTGTTGCCCATAGCCTTCTCATTAGGTCTGTCTCTATTCCATTTCTCCCTGTCCTTGCCCGTACACTGCGATAATTTTTATGGAGCTATTAAAAAAAAAATAGTCATGATGAAAATGGTAAGTTTAGTATTTTTCTATGTGGTCATATCATTACTATAACCACCGTTATTAGTGACTTATGCATACTTTAGCGAAGTCTTTAATATCTGGTCTTAGAGATGAAGATTCAAAATGCTGGAACAGTTGATTAGCTCTAAGGAGGAAATACATCTTTACCTCATTCCTTACAGTGTATTCAAGATAGAGCAAATAATTAAATACTTTCAAATAATGGTAAAGTGGTATAATGCTCATGGATTACCATGGCAACCATGGTTCAAATCCCTGGCCCCGGTATGCGTGAAACAGACATGCAAGCAAGCGCCCAGGATCCACTGAGCTGGAGGGCTGGACAAGGAGTTCACAGCATTCGTATGTGAGCACATACTCTATCATGAATTTAAAATGACCTAAATAGGTAAACATACCAGAACAAATACCAGTAAACGCTTTTTGGTCTGGGATGGCAAAGGCGTAAGAATGACGAAAATACCAGAAATGACAAAAGATAGGACTGGTAAATTTGGCTACATATGTTTAAGCATTTATTGAATGCTTCCTAGGTGCTGGTTCTGTTCCAGACACACGGGATCTCAGAGTTGTCCAAAATGATTAGAGAGTTGCGCTGTCATACTCACACAAGCCCGTGACAGTTAAGGTGTTTGTTGTCCCTGGTGGGCCTGAAGCTTCCAGGCACTCAGGGGTCCCCTGGGAATGCAAACAAAGCAGCCCTGAAGACAGGTGTCTGCTATTGGAGATCAAAGTCTATCAAGCCCCAGAGAAGGATGTTCAGAAACAGAAAAGATCCAAGGGGATCTGGACAAAGCACCAAAGTGTCAGTTCGAATCCCTGGCCTGGGTCTGGCAGTCATGCTGCTTCAACTCCTGTCATACAGTGTCCTTGTGCCACCACCTTAACACTTTTTTTTTTTAATTAGTTCAATTTTAAAAATATAATTCTCTAAATAGAAAAACGAGTGGATAGTTTTTTTTCCCCTTATTTTTAAAAATTAAACTTGCCCCAGGGTGTGTGTGCTTGGCAGAGAGAGAGTCAGAGACGGGGAGAGAGAGAAAGTACCCCCTAATGGGGCATGGTCCCAGCACATTCCGTCCATTTCTCCATCCTGCTGGGATTTGGGGCACACATGCAGGCATGATAGTGTGTTTTTCAAGCTGCAGGGGTCGGGATTTGAACTGTGCAGTCAGCCACATGGGATCTGGCTCCTTTAACCACTTAGGTAAGGGGTGAGAACGGAGAGGCTGCCCTGCGGAAGGAGCAATGGCATTGAGGTCAAAATGAGATGGTGATTTGTGGAAGGAGACCTGGGGAAGGGGCGTCAGAGAGTGGGTGTTCTGGGTGGAAGGAACAGCAGCCCAAGGGGTTGCATGGAGCCAGGTCAGGCAATGCCTTATTACCAGGAAAGGCATCTGGGCTTTATTTTATTTTATTTATTTAATTTTTGGGGAGAGATTTTTGTTACAGGGTGCGTGCATTCGCCAGAAAGACAGAGAGACAGAAAGTGAGAAATCACCCCCCAGGGGGGATGGCCACGCCGCAATCCCTTCTCCTCCATTCTCCTCTTGGGATCTTGGGCACGCACGCACACGCGCCTGGCATGAGTTTAAGCCACCGGGTCCGGGACTTGAATTGCGGTCCAGTGACATGGGAGTCCAGCAACATAGCCCTTATGCCATCTGCTGGTCCCCATCTGGGCTTTATGTGGGGGGCTATGGGAATGATATAATCACATGTGTGTTTGGAGTATTTCCACTGACAGACAGATTGGGTCAGGAGCAGTGCAAGAAATAACTGGGCGCGAAGATGTATTAAAGTTGATGAAGATAGTTGTGGGGGGAACCAGCAGTTAGCGTAATGGCTATGTCACTGGACTCCCATATAGTCAACCGCAGTTTGCATCCCGGACCCGGTGGCTTAAAACTCACGCTGGGCGCGTGTGCGTGCAT